CGCCGCTTCATCTTTCATCACATCGACTTCAGCACCGACCTATAGCGACTAGACTATTATATTTATTCGAAAATACAGATTAAACAGTAAAATACTCCTACGAGTGGAGAAATTGAATACCAGTTCACCTTATGTGGGGCGAAGGTACGAAAGAGACTGGTCCATGAGACAAAAAGATGCAAACTTCTTACTAGTATTGCGGAGTGTTGATGGTTTTTTCCCGGAAATCGAGCGGAAACCCGAATGTGGTCAAAAGTGAAAGCGGCAATCGTTACAACCGTGCTCACCATGTGCATCGCTTCTGTTTGATTTTTCATTCACCTCTTGATTTATTCCATCTATTTTCTACCAACGGTATGGTTTACACGTCTTCCTTCCATTGAAGGACTCACTGAGAGCTTTGCTCATTCCAGAAGTACATAAAGGATGTTGGGATGAAGTATTTGGGTTTAATCAATCTCGTATGAAGTATGCGTCCTGCATATGAACTTCATTCGAATCGCAGCGTCAGTTTGAATACGTATTGGCTCATAAAATGACTTGCCATGGCAAGCCGATGTACAAATCAGTACTTTTATCCTCTCAAGCGACCCTGATACCAATTGACCGACCACAGGGAAGGAAAGTTCGGAGGTAACCCTGGCTTCTGGAAGACTACACACACAATGATGATTTTCCTGTTGAAGGGCCGCAGTAGGTACATTGCTGCTACATCCGAAGCTGCACCGCTAGAAAAAGAACACAGGCTCACGTCTCTTGATCCTCGTAAGTTCTCCAAATCGGTTGTTGCTTGTTCCACATTCCCTCTAACACAGAGCGTAAATTTCGGTGATTCTGGTACCATCTGCAGGGTGACGACCTGCGCGAGTGCAGGTACGACTGTGAACCAGAATATGAGCGGCCATCTATCTGGAGTGCCGAAAATTTGCGGCAAGCCGAAAATCTGAAACGTCAAAGAATAAGTTTTAACAGCGCTGAATGTCAATCAAGGAGTATCTAAAGAGACAATGGCACCAATGCCATCCACTCGCCTGTGAGACCAAAATAGATATTGTGATGTTGAGTTGATGCAATGAACCCAACATTCCGCGAAGATTTGTAGGAGAGACTTCTGTCAAATAGATGGGCACAAGGACGCTCAGGCCTGAAATATGAGATTTGACTCCAGAAGTACTACATAAGCAATCGCTCAACACTCAAGTATGGGCAGACATTGACATCTAGCCTCTGTAAGGCCTCGACCTGCGTTTACACTTTCCAGGTCGATTTCCCTCGCTGGGACAAGCTCATCTACTCAATCGATCAAGCTCACGGCTTACTTTTACTGTGCATTCGACTTCCATGCACAATCGTGGTTGAGGTCCAAATGTTCATGTACCCTATGCATAATGACTGGCGATGGTCAGCCAATGTACAAGCCAGCATTTTTATCCTCCAAACGATGTATTTCAGATGAATAATGGAAACGATAGTCCAGAATAGTGCAAAAGCGGCGAAGTAAAAGCCAAAGTAGGAAATAAGATAAATATAGGGCTTCAAAAAGTACTGAAATAAGGGGTTGGACGAGTAAGTGACGACAAAAGTGGCTTCGAAAGGGGAATTGGACGAGCTGTCCAAATGTGTGTGATATAGCGTACAGATAACTACAGTGAGTTGCATGCGTGCAATGCATGCATGTGCGTCTCAACGCAAAAAGTGCAACTACTAAGCCTCTACAACGCGTCGTCATCCTAGAGAGTAATCTCAGAAACCATACTTATTGTGTACTGTGCCTCCAATTTGTACAAGACTCTTCTGGAAGGATGCAAGCACTGACTAGTATATCGACCAGCCGCAGGTTCAGGCCTTATGTATAGGCCACATACGCATTCGAAACGCCACTACGGTTCTGCATGGAAGTCGAAGTGCAGGGATGCACCGATGTGTTTATATTAGGGTGTCCCAAAAGGTTTGAGAAAATTTATTTGGTTTATTCAACACGAAAATACTACAACAAAAAGGTGAGATCAGTAATCGAGATAGTGGTTCTCTTTGGCCACGACGTCCCTCCATCGACTGGGCAGAGCGCTGATGCCATTCATCCAGAAAGAAGAGGAGAGCGACGCGATCCATTCATCTACTGCACCTTTGACCTCCTAACGGTTATGAAACTTTTTCCCTTTGAGGTAAGCTCGTAGACTCCTGGAGGCGTGGTAGCCGCAAGGGCTAAGGTCAGGTGAATACGGAGGATGGGGTAGCCAGGTAATCCCAAGCCTTTCCAGCTCCTCAGCCGTCGCCCTAGCATGATGAGGTCGAGCGTTGTCCACGGAAATCAGGAACTTTCCCTGCATTCGGTTTGAAACCAGGGCTCGATACACTATCTCCCACAGCTGTTCGTAGATTACCCTTGCAGTCACAGCAGACCCTCAGNAAGCCACCGTTCGCTTGTGGTCCAGTAGCTTCCGACACACATCGACCCGCACCTGACGCTCGCTCTCAGTCAAGGTGTGGGGGATAATTCCAGGAAGTGCTGCGCGAAAGTGACTTCTGCGTAGGATGTCGTGGATGGTGGAACGGGGAGCAGAAGTCATCCTCTCCATTTCTCTTAAGCTTTGAGTAGGATTGCCTTGGACTGAGGCTAAGACAATGTTGGTTTTGGTGGAACGTGGACGTCCTCTTCGTGGCGCTTCGTCGAAGTAAATCTCCCCTCTAGAGAAGCGACCGTACCACCTATAGCAGGTGGCGAAGAAGGTGCGGTACTGCCCATCGATGACTGCAATTCATTCCCCTTTTGAGTGGCGAAGTGACCAGATCGGTAGTAATGAAGCAGAACGCGCCGGTAGTCGTGTCGGTCGGACATAATTCAAATGATGACAACTCACTTCCAAAGATAAAGTGCAATACTGTTCTATTGTTTTGACCATCTACTAAGAGTGCCCTTCTCCTGCCCCTTTTCCCGTGGCTCTGCTTCGGCGCTTTCTTGCGCAACATGGTTGCGAAACTTATGATCAAAATTTTCTCAAAACTTTTGGGACACCCTATACTTGACCCTTTTTAAATTACCAGAAGTGGTCAGGCTGAGATAGTAGGTGTGTTCAGGTCACAAAGATGTCCGAAATGTACTTATAAAAATTTGATGTGGCTCGAAACCAAGAGTCCTTTCTCACCGGCGTATATTCCAATAAGAAATCGTCCAATCATCATCGGTACGTACTGATCGATGTATTTCGCTCCTCCCATAAGAACAGCAGCTATGAAGGCGACAATATTGGTGTAGAGCAGACCACCACGTCGACCAGCTTTGTCAGCCAGTGCACCTGAGAGTATGCCTCCAACTGCACCACCCACTGCGAACATGGATACGATCGCACTCCTGTCAGAATTGATGTTATAATTCTAGTAAAGGAAATGAAACATGCGTAATTCTGTTCAATAAAATTATTTCTGCGCAAAAGCCTGAGCATCCTCTTGTACTATACAAATTCTGAAGGTTTTTAAACTTTCTCGAATGCTGTGCTATGCTTCTGTCATCGAATTTTTTGTTGAAATGAACAGATTCATTCAAGGTCCTGCAGCTTATATGTTTCTCTGCCACTACTATTCGAAAGAAACAAAACTGACACTCAGTCGTTTATTTACGAAGGCAGCAAACCACGGGACTATGAGAGGTACTCCTTTCAAGGTGTTCTCTTCTTGGACATGGACGAGGTGAATATGAGTTGGTCGCTCTCGCGAAGGTCTTTACTAGGATATCCCACTCATATCGCCCGTCAGGAGCCAGTTCTGAATACGCAAGACACCTACAACATTACGTACCCATAATGCTATCCTCTATAAAGCCTATTGATGCCGCTTGGGCAGTCTACCGCAGGTACTTGGCCTCCCGACAGCTCCAATCCCATCTGTCAAAATAATGCTTTCAGCCATGATTTCAGTTTTTGAGTCAACAAGTACTCTGATAGTCCCCTTTGACTTTCTTCAATTTTCAGCTATTCTGAGAAGTTGGAATTCAAAATACTCGTTTTCAATGTCATGCAGTAAGTATGTCCCTTAGATTTTGAAGTCATACCATATGACATCTGCTGTTGTTTTCTCGATCACTGTGCCATGTGACCTGTTATGTGATTCAATGATCCATTCAGTGATCATCTGGAAAAGAGCAGCTCGTTACTCATCTGCATGTTCAACACATTCCTCTGGGAAACGTACCGCTCCCGGAGCATTCACACATCCAATATGATAACCGAATTGGAATGAACCTAACGTGACACTGAACACCGCAAACGCCAAAGAACCAGTTAGCTTTCCCTGAACGTCGTCAGTTGCATGAATCGTTTCATTTTTTCCATGCACACTAGTAATGCACTTACTTCGATGGCGGCTTTCTTGGAGACCTAGAATAAATCAATAAAAGTCGTTAATCATATTCTGCTTATTACTCTTTGTTTCATGCAACCCCATTAGGAACAATTTCAATCTCTGAAGGCAGTAGAATCGGTGGTGTAGGAACAAAGATTCTGAGACCACAATGTGTTATCACCCTGGAGCCCACCTGTGGACTCAAAGGTTGGAGAGTAATGTTGTGGACTGCAGAATCATCTCTGACACCTTGCCCTGCCCCCAAGCATGTCTACTGCTTATAAACAGTAAGTAATATTCACCTTGCTCTCTGTGCTTCCTATGCTGGCTTTACTGTCCTTGCTGACACTGCCCTGCAATGAATTATGGATTAGGTAAATGGAACACGATAACAGTTAGTAATGCTTTTCCTTCACAGGCTCACTACTTTCTAATCGGAAGGGGCAGGAATGAATACCTCTGCAACCTAAATGTGGTCCCACTGGCTTGCATACTACTTGCCCTAGTTTTTTTCCCTTTCCTCTTCACACTTCTTTACTTTTCCAACAGCCCTCTGAAGACATCTCTGAAGAACGCAACACTGGCAGCAGTTCTGTGCTACTGAAGATCCCCCTGTGATCCTGTAGAGCACCTAGAACTCGTTATTAGTAGCATTAGTATGTTCTCAAGAGCCTCTCGAGTCTACTGGAGAGCTAGCCAGACATTTATAGAACGTTTGCTAGTCTATGAAATCAATCGGTGTTTCACAGCGACAGTTTGCTTTGGATGAAGCCTACTAGAAACTTGCCTAGGGGGGTAATTTGACCCGTAGAGCACGAATATTGCATCCATTTGTCATGAAAATGCCTGGCGCTCGCGCCACAGACGACGGCGCCAAAGAGCTGGGTCACAATCTTGCTGAAAACTTGCCCCTAAGTAGTGTTGTTAGGCATCTTTATGAGTAGTGGATGCGATATTCGTGTTCTACGGGTCAAATTACCCCTCTAGACAAGTTTCTAGTCGGTTTCATGATCTTGAAAAAAATTCGGTAGAAATTCAGCCCATTCTCGATAAGGTGGGGCTGTAAAGGGTAAATAGTGCCGCTTTGGCATTGAAAACACTTGGTAAAGCTGCCACTGTACCTATGTTCGACCAACTCTCAATGTGGCATTCCTGGTCAATAGATATGAAGGGTATGCATGATGCCATGACTGAAGCTACCGGATTCAGATTCCTTTCCATCAATGACCACGTTTTTACACTCCTATCCGCGATATGGAAGTTTCTGTTGGATTCCATGTGGACGACAGATGTCCCCGATTACTCTACTCTAAACCTATCCCATGTAGTCTCTTGACCACAAGCCCGGAAAGGGCTTCGGCATGTTCCTTACCCTTATAAAAACTTTGTAGGGAAGAAGAAACAAAGTGCATAGTGGTCGTTGCAAGGTGTTCACCATCTCTCACAGCATGATGAACATCAGTAGATCGATGTCATCACCTGGGACTGACCGATGTAACAACCGAACCTAGAGTTCAATGTGGGACTGTGAATAAGGAGAAACTAATCCGAAACTATTGATACTCCTACTGATACTCTGATCTCAAATAGTGATACCTACTTAAGATCGCTATCCAAATGATTCACCGACCGACCGACCGGTTCAGCAGCTATGGGTGTGACTTATGAGATACTATGACAAAAACATCATGACGCCTATGGAAAGGGTCAGCCGTCGCACCGGAAACTGAGGGCCCAGCCGGGAGTAGAAGAGGTTTTGTCGTCGTCCGATGAGGACGACGTTAGGTTTGTTCATAGCCAGTGCTTCATCAGCAGGGGGAGACTGTCAACTCTGGGCTCTATGTGGGCATCCATGGCATACCGAGCACGACGATTTTGTCCAACAAACTAATTCAGCTTTACAATTAAGTGAAGGCATAAGGTTGTTTGAGAACTTCAGACCGATCTTCACTAGACGTACACACGTCAGGGTAGATATCGATTAGTTGCGTTGATTGTGATTGTGATTGTGGTACTGATTTTTCTTAATCGATATCATGCTCTCATCGGCCAATGATAATTACGAGTGTGGAAGTAAATCAGTTTGTATACGT